ATGGAGATATTTTGTCTTATTTTATAACAAACAAATTTCTTACCAACTGTTAAGTTAAAAATCTGGTATAGCCTTCTTGTAAATGAGAATGTCACTTCCATTTTTTTCCTTAAAGTATCATGTCATTCCTGTCTTGATATATGCAAGAGTTCAGAATGCAGAGCATGCTATATCCAATTCTGGCAGTAAATGAAATTAGTTATGTGATTAAAGAAAAACAATGATAAATCAATTTAAGAGGAAAACCTCAATCATGACTGAAAAGTGTACTTAACTGGGGCTTGCCAAAGCTGCTTTTTTACTTTTTTTTAAATTTATTTTACTGTTAGCCTGCAAAATGTGTTCCTGCATATATTAACACATCATTACATAGCTAATGTTTACAAATCTAGCATTTTTAATGCAGTGGCAGACTGCATATTCTCCCAGTTCTCTCTGTTGTTTAATCTGATTGAGGTGTTGTGGCCTCAAATGGCATTTGCACATGGACTTGTATGTCTTTGTTTTGAATTGGCATTCTCAAATGGTTGTTTTTTTGTGAGTGGGGCTGTTCTGGAAATGATGTGATTCAGTTCACCCTGAGATATGGGGGCGGCAGTGCAAATGATGTTAGATATCTAACTTTTCCATATGCACCTCTCATGAGTAATTTTGAAAACTTGGTCCTTCAGAAGGGGATTTTACATTAGTGTAAATGTGAAAAGGGAATATTTGTATGACAAGCCTTTTTTATCAGTAATTTTGTGTCCCCTGCTATCTTTTGTTCGAAGAGGCGCTTTCTTCATTATCACAAACAGCTTCTTCTGTTTGATCCCATAGTAAGTTATAATCATATACTACAGATATCAGTCTGTTGGCATGGTAATTTAATTTACCATATTTTCTTGTCTATAGCGCACCCCAGAATGTGATGCGCACCCTGTTTTTGAAAGGCAGCATAAAAAAAAAAGTTCTTGCCTTGTAGTACCGCAAGTAACTGAGTAGCAGCGGACAGGGAGCCGAGCCTGCACCTGGTGCCAGCCTCACATGCCGGATGGGGCTTGTGAACCAAGCCTGTGTGTCAACATGATCTGACATGCTGTGTCTTGGGCTGCACACTGGGTCTGGCTGCAGAGTGACCCTGCATGCCAGCTTGATCCAGAGCCCGTATCCGGGCCCGTGTGCCAGTCTGACCCCACCTGCCATGCCTGTGGCTGGGGGCTGACCTTGTCTGCCAGCCTGATCTGGTGATACGCGACCAAAGTTGTGTGTCAGTCCGACCCATGTACTGGTTTGGGGCCACATGCTGACTCTGCATGTGGCCCCATCCACAGGAGTAGGTCTGAGACCATCTATTGGGTCCTACCCTGTGTGCATTTGGGGCCAGGCACTAGGTCCAGCCACAGATGGATTCCATGTGCCAGCCTTGTCAAGTGCTGAGTCCAGAGCTGTGCACTGAGTCTGGCTGCAGAGTGATCCAGTGCTCGGGGACATTTCATCCAGCCAGGAGTCTTCCCACGGATCTGGAAATTTGGTGGTAGGGA